TTTATAAAATATTAAAATTTTATATAAAATGCATGCAGGATTATCGCGACGATGTTTTGTGATATGTCAATAAAAAGAAATTAGAAAATAATTAAAAACAGGAAGGAGGGTGGTGAGAAAGGAAGATCCGCGCGTTCGCGAGCCGGCAAATCCGCGCGAATGCGCCTGAACCAATGTAGCAAATCAGGAGAGAGGTCTCCTCCGTCGTCGGTCGAGAACTCGGTACCTTCCTGATCGGGAAAAGCTTTAATAAGCTCGTAATCCGTAGGCTGTAGTCATGCAATGACTCTAAAAAAAAAAAGAGCTCCGCGATTGAGCGACATCGTATACGTTGATCGACCGCACGAGCGGGGACCGTAAAATAATTGCAAAAAGAAAAAAAGAAAAAAAAACAGAGTACCGACCGAATTGTGTTCAACTGGGCGATTCGCCGCCGTCGTCTCGACGTCGGGAACGGCGAACATGTAGATAGGGTAGATAGATATACGACGAATAAAAGTCGGAAGATTTGAGTGCGAGAATGGCAACATGGGGAGAACTGGTGCCCAGATCTCGTCTCCGAAGGGTCGCGAAGATGGCGAGAGACGGCTCTTTTCGTATTGCGACTGTTGTGGGTGTATCCTCGAGCTCGATTCGCGACAGTTGAAAATGAACGAGCTCTCCGCGAGATTGTGCATTTTCGCCTTTTCCCATTTTGCTTCTGTACTCGTTCTTGGAGCGTGACAATTAGAATTCGTTCCACTCCGCATTTTTAATCGGGTAAAATGAATATAAATTACTCCATGTGTTTGTGTATGTGTATTTCCTCGAATCGCAAAAGCAAAATATCACGAAATAGCGGATTGATAAATTTTCGCGCGGTAATTGAATTGTGTATTGATTAATCGTAACGGCTTGTTCTTTAATTTGCGTGCTGAATATAATCAATCATAGAAATGAAACAGGTTACACGTTATCGACGTGATATCACATATAATATTTTGTCTCCAACAATCGACGTATATTATTTTATTAAGATTATACGTAAGGAAATTATCATTTTTATATTATCGCTCTCGTGATTCTTTAATCCTTGGTGTCAACATTATTATGCCAATTAAATTAATCGATTCGTTAATATTTCCAAATCTTAATCCGCAAAAAAGCTTTTATTTTCAATTTATTTTTAGATAAATTAAATACTGTTTTAATTATCGATTTAAAATTGCCACGAAAGGGAAATTCGTGACTGCATCCTCGACAGTCGCAGATCTCATCCTCGCCGAGAGACCTGATCGGAGACGATCATTTCCGGCACCGACTCAGCCTAGACTCTTCGACTAGTAGCGATTAGATAAATGGCGCTGGTACTACGTAGCTAGCACCGATGGTACTCGTAGTTTGGCGCTTTAGTTGTTTATATATATATATATCATGTTCTTTTCTATATATATTATCACTACCGTGTCAGATCTGGCTTGGCTGCGAGAATCGCTAAGACTGCGATAAGGTGAGCCGCGCTCGAGACAACGAGTGCCGATACCGTCAAAGGAGCAAGTTTTTTAATCATCTTGAATATTTGCAAACAATTTGCATGAGATTATTCGCTCAAATATTTCTATCTCCTTTTTGTATACTACACGATTTCACATGAAATCGATAGGGATTCGGGAACACAAATGTCTAAAAGACATCATTGAAACGTCATAATTTTTAGACGATTTTTAAGTGTTGTTTGAGTTATTTGAAAAATAACACGAGGAGAAGCAAGAGAAAATTAACAAAATCGCGTTACATATAAAGCTCGATCGTCGGTACTCTAATCATCTAATCAAACGTCAGTACCAAAACGTCACACACCTGAATACGCCGGAACTTCAAAGTACGACCAACTAATTTGCGGACCAAGTACGCTGAATCGCCGGTAACAAATCAATCAAAAAGACATACACGCATGTACCCTGAGAGAAAATAAAAAATATTTTTTCGTCTCGCGCGTGGCTCTCGTCGTTCGGTCTTGGCGAGGACGATCTCGAAGGGCAGCCAGGTCGGATCTCCTCTATGGGCAACAATGGTTTTAATGTTTAATTGAAGAAAAACAAAGTTAAAAAGACTCTGTAATCTTGAGGGAAAGGATCCTCGGAAAATCCCCCGAGCCCCTTCCTCCGCACCACCCTGACAACAGGATTGATCCTTCCACCCCGCCGACGAAAACCACCACCCTACGCTCTTATTATACAGCTTTTATGCACAGCTAACTTCTGTCCCCCACCGGCCGCATTCGCATACTCGGCGAAACAGCATATCAGAAATAAAAAGTACACGCAGTCTGCTCTCTAACATTACAGCTACAACAACATTGCAGCCTCCCGATACCAGTCGTCTCCTTACAGTAATTCGACGGGGCCGCCGAGACGGGATCGAGAGATTGTTGCGTTCGTGATAGACGCCAAAATCGCTCTAGATACGCGCGACGATTAGCATGACCAATCGACAACGGAGCATATCACACGAGGAACCGATCCAGTTGACGGGACGCGGAATCTTTCACGAAATCGGGAAACTCAACGGGAGATTCAATGGATCTCGAAATCGCGCGCGACTAATTGCCTCGTTGCAATTGATTGATTTCTTTTCGAGCGTCCCTCGACGCGGATTCGGAGTCCTTGAAACGGGTCCAATCGGTAGATTAGAGATCGGAAGCGCGACAGTTTGACAGATCTCGTCGCCGCAATCGTCGATCCTGGATCGGACGAGCGTACCCGTCCGGCACGCGCACCGGGCTGCATACTCGCCCGGTGCCCAGCGATCAAAGCAAAAAGAAAACAAAAAGAAAACCGGCAATAACACATACACACTATACAGGCAACAATAGACATTTCACTCAGCATGGGCATGAAGCGATCGCGTGGTGACCGCGGCCACGATCGCTCGCGGCACTCGCAACGATCGCCGTGCGACGGAGCAAAGAAAAATAAAAAAGAAATATAAGCAGGTGTATACAGATTACTAAAACTCTCTACGTCACATATACATATTATCCAGCAGTGATTTACGCTAATGCAGATGCCACGCAGAGCAATGCAAAAAAATAAAAAAATAAATAAAAAAATTAAAAAAAAAACAAGGATCGCCTCGGCCTCGAGTCACGATTGACCCGGATCGAATCGACAGCTAGGACCGCGCGATCGGGATAGGGAACGATTTTACGCGATCGATAAGGGTAATACTACGATGAAAAGACGACGAATCGTCCCTCCTGTCGATCGAACAGGCGCGATCGCCGATCGTCGATCGCGATGTCACGGGGTCGCGGGCGAGGTATCCCGCAAATCAAAACCCGCAGTCAGTGCAGAATATAATAAACGATAAGTGCAGAGGAAACAAACTACTATAGTATATAAAACACAGAAAGGTATATTATATATATAAAATATATTAATTATTATTATTATATGATTCTTATATGATTATTATTATTATTAAAGGAATACATAAAACAATATTATTAATAACACCGAAAAAAAATACTATATTACTACTCTATTATTAATTATTATGATTCTTATTATAAATTTAATGAAGACAAAATAACATTCCAACCGTCAATGTGCCACACGACTTTTTATATGCTCTTAAGGAAAACTAAAAATGATGCTAACGCGCGAAGAGTTATAGGGGTACGCGAGATTAAACAAGTACCGAGATGATCGTCATAAAGCAGCGTGGACAAGCGAACTTGAAGTGAACAATTGTTCGCGTAACAATTGACAGGGCTCCGCGTTAAGAAAGGCTCGTGGGAAAAATGAAGCAGGGCTAACTTTAACGGGCGCCCCCCCCCCTCCCACCCTCTCCCTTTGTGTAATTTTTTTTTATATTGGTAAAAGCTCGTTGCTTATTTCGCAGTTAGGAATCTTTCATTGAAAGTTCTTTTTTTACATTAAGTAATTATTGTGTTCAGGTAATACAATAATTACTTGCTGATCGTCGGATTTAAGTAGGATCTTTACACGACATCTATTTCCGATTCGTCTCTATCGTGCCACCAGCTTCTTCTTTCACATATATCGTAAAGAGATTTTCCGATTTGATTTATACCTCTCGCGGACGGATTACAAGAGCAATCGAGAACTATCGTTTATAAGGTAATTAAAAAAAATTTTTGATATCCTCGAGACAAAGTTCGGGAACAATTTAAAGATGATGCACATCACGAGATTCAGCATGATGTAAAATTGAGAAATTTTGGTTTAGACCTTGGGGTTATGAAATTATATCTGGTGATTTGATTCATCCACGATTGAAATACTTGCCGCTTATTGAGTGTCAGACAGAAGAATCAACCAAACAAATGACGCAAAAACGTTTGTCATTAAATTATAATGAGAGAAGCTTTGGGGGCCAGAAGTATTCTTGAATTAAGGACAAAAAAAAGATTCTTATTGAACGAGTATTTTTACCTTGTCATAGTAGGTTTATAATTTATAGGATTCGGGAACGATTGGATTATACTTGGAGGAAAACTTGATGTTGCGTGCTTTATTCAGAATTTTCTTTGCTTTTCATTCGCAGTTTTATTCCATATTTCATGCATTGTAAGCTCGTGAGAGCGTAAACGCGGTAAGAGCCATGCGATTTAACACGGGGCTACCGCATGCGATAAATGATACGAAACAAGACAGAAAACCTTCTGTAAAACGGAATACGTTGCATAAAGGAGCCAGTGTAAATATCTCGAGGAGATCATTCGAAGACAACGAACGTTCTCGATTTCTCTCGCAAATGAGAGGAGGGTACCCCATGTTTCCCCGCGATTGATTTTGTCGGCCGATCAGCGACAAATCCGGGACAAGCATACGTAAGAGTGATTACGACGATTGTCGTTGGGATTGAATGATTAAATAGACGTAGGCGTAAAAGCATATTTACATAACTAGTTCATTGATTACGTGCGTTAATTGATGTAACGTGCGCGATAGCTGTGGGCAAGTGATTATTATTATTATTATTATTATTATATTATTATTATGTGATTATTGTTTTAAAGGTGAGTGTAAGAGATTGATACGTGAATGGGTGAGTTTGAAAGTGCACGCACGCATGAGTATAGATGTTGAGCGAAACTATCGAAATACGTACATATGCATGAGACACGCGTAGATACGGATACGCGTATACATAGTGAACATAAAAGTGACACGTTATTCATTTATAGTGCTACTGCCTAGACGTAAAATATTCCATACAAACAACCTCTAAAGGATCTATATATATAAATATACAAAAAATATATGAATTGTATATAAGGTGTTCCAGGTCAGGTCAATGAAACTTCAGGGTTTTATAGGAAATTAAATTTGGAACAAAAAAGTTCCTTTAAACATAGGTCTGGAAACGCTTCGTTTAAAAATTATAGCTAATAAACTGTAAGTAATTAGTTATGATCAAAATTTAATAAGAACATTTTTATGTTTGCATTTGCAATGTTTGCACCATGAATGTAGTGTTTACACGAAGACCATCGAAAGGTGATTCTTTCAAGCTTCTGCTTTCTTCGTTGTTTTGAGCTTATTTTCTTTTGAACGTCTTATCAGAATTAAATGAAATTGGTGTAATTTAGTTTGTTATTTAATTACCCATCAGATTTATTCCGTTACTTTTTTCAAATGATTGAAGGGTTTTGAAGTTATTTTTAAAAATCATCAAAAAACGTGATTCTTCGAAGTTTATTAGCTATAACTATTTAACGAAATGTTTCCGGACTTATGTTTTTGTTCCAAATTCAATTTTCTATAAGACCCTGAAGTTTTATTGACTTGACCTGGAACATCCTGTATATACATACACACACATACACAACATCCGTGTGTTTCAAGATAAAGAAAAGACTAAATCTATACATATATACGTGTGCAAATATCACTGAAATAATCACATACGCGATCATGTGTAAAATCGCGATAGGGATACCCTTGGTATGCATATAATAAATACACAAACACATGCGCAGCATGTAGATTCGCGCAGAGATTCGTGGATGGCTATTTGCCGGATCGCGTGCGTCAAATGTAAAACCAACAGTGAGATAACGTGCATATGACTTACTTTATTACAGTATACATATGTATGTATGCGTACATATACGTCGATCGAATATTCGCCAACGACGGTTGACCGACATCGCCATCATTATCATCCTATCAACATTATCATTCCCATTATCATCATCATTATTATCATCGCCGTCGTCGTTACGTATTATCGTTACGTCGTTAAGTATCCTTATGGAATCGTTACGATAATTATCCGTTTTGCAGACGCTCGCGCGTCTCTAAAAGCGTCGTCGCGTTCCTTCTTTGCCGTGTAGCCTTTATTAATCACCATCTATGAGTAGCGAGTCACATTTCGCCGAAAATGACAACTTATTAACGTAATTATACGTTATATATATATATATATATCTTTTTACAGAAAATTGTGATATCGCCATATTTAAAACAGATAAAATATTAACAATTCTCCAAAATGCAATTCTAAAAAAAAAATTGTAGTTCTATTTTGATTTGTTTTTTGGCAAATGGCACATTAATCTTTCGAGTTTCCTGTGGTTTGATGGTTCGACCATGCAGTTTTCTCTTTTTCCTTATCGCTCTTATTTTTATCGTCAAACTTCCGAAGGCATTTTGAAAATATATCATCGTTCTGGTTTTCGTCAAAATCGCTCTTTATGCGATGACCTTTTGCACTTTCGGAAATCTGTTCTCGAGCTTTGTTATACTTATTGAATATTTGAACGCAAAATATTGTATAATCGCACTGGATACGAACTGGACTAAATTGAAAGAGCCGGAAAAATTCAAGTATAATTAGATATCAAGTTCAATGAAAGGAAGTAGGGCTGGTGATTTGCTTCGAAGGCTTCGACGTTCGAAGTTTCGAAGGTTCGAAGATTTAAAGCTTCAGCATTAAAATCTTCGAAGATCCAAGTTTCGAAGCTTCGAACCTTTGAAACTTTGATACTTCAATCTTCGAAGCTTCGAAGAATCAAAATTATACAATTAATAATAGTAATAGTACCGCGATTACTATCGAGGTACACATTTATAAAATTATATGATAAAATCTGAATAAAATTTCTAATGTTGCAATAATTAATGTTAAATAATTACATATTTTTGAGCATATATATTAATTAATTCCTTTTATTTACAATATTTTTGGCGTTCTCTGAATGAATTCGCCATTCGCACGAATATATTCTTCGAAGTTTCGAAGTTAACTTCGAATTTAGAAGCTTCAAATTTTCGAAGTTATCAAGAGTAACAGCTTTAAAAGGAAGCACTAGCACAGATGTCATTTTGATATAATGTACGCACACATGCATATGTATTATAAACACTAAAAGCTCAAGGCAATTTAAATATCTGTTTCCTATGCTACAATCTAACTCTGTCGGAAATTTCAGAAGTCGAGATTTGTCGTTTCTTCACATTCTGCATATATGTATACAAAGCGAGAATCTTATCGAATAACAACCTTATTAGCAGCAACAATCAAAAGCACATGTGTTCATGGATACATAGGCTGTAACTGAAGAACTTGAGAGATCAAAAAATGCTAAAGGAAATAGAAAAAGGAGGCGAGAAAAGAAAATCACTGTCGAATATTTCTCGATCTCCATAGAATGAACATTCGACCCTCCTTCGCGAATCTTCGAGCTCGCGAGAGGATCAATTTTTGTTTGAGCTGTATCTATTTTTTTATATCGATCTCCCGTCGTTTGCGGGATTCTCGTCATTCCACGATCATTCCACCGCGTTCTTCTAATCGTACTTTTGAGTAAATCGTTTTGAGCGCATCCACACGTGATTGTCAGAAAGTCAACGTCCGCGGCTGTGCGGAAGACTACACTAAAGTCATTCCAGTGAAGATACATACTTCAAATTCCTACATTGTATAATGCTTTTTCTTGTAGCTCCTTTTCTCTATTTTGACACGATATACAACAAACGTCAGACATTTTTCTGTTTTCGTAACGTCCGCAATTGGAACGAGTTAGTTTGCGCGTTTGTTGGGGTCTGCTTTGTCTCTGAATGCATCGAGCGATAATGTGCGAATGCTACGAAAACATTTTCACTCTCCGTTTACGGTTGCTCTTCCGGCAAATTTTCTGGCAGGTGCGCGGAAGGCGCCCATCTTGCGCGACAATGTGGTAAGGCACGCATGAATATAAAGGTGCATGTTGCATCAAAGTATCGGAACGTTATAAAGGAAATGAAAAAGCGAAGGGAAAAAAAAACCAAGTCTCGCAACTTTCCTGAGCGATAGCGAACGCGAATGGGGCGCCTGTTGGCTTTACTGAGAAAAATGTCAGGATTAGCGTGAATGAAATTATAATCCTACGAAAACGTTAGTCAAATGTTCCAAAAGACAGCGACTTTTTTAAAAAATATGCAAAAGATCAGGACAGTACTTAAACATCCTTTAGACATTCGTATTATTTAATTGATAAATAAAATTAAATTGATAAATGAAATATTTAACGAGCCTTATATATCGCGGAACTACAGATCCACGCTGCTTTACTACGATGTGGTCCAACGTGAAATAAATCGTAATTCTAATTTGGTTGTATATATAGATTGTGCGAATCATATTTGTACATACCGCGTAGACGTATATACGTTTTTTCTGTAAAGTAAAAACACATTTCAATAGCTGCGGTCGATCGAACCGATTCTTCTTCATAGGCAGAAAACACGCTTAGAAATCCGTTTTAACCAACCACGATCCTACGTTAAATACTCATCGTATGATTATCTATCGCAAAAGTGTTAACAGACTTCTCGCGTGTGGCTATTCTACGATCGGTGTTTCGAGAACTGTGATTTTGGTGTTCCGAGAGAAAAATCGTGAAACCAATTTAAAAGAAAAAAATACACGTTAGCCGCAGAATTATATTCAGTAATAATGTACTCTCGATCGCCGCTCGAAACGCCGATCAGTAGCCGTCATTGTATATTATCCATTGTTTTGCTCCTCAAATGATCCGTGTAACACGATAGATGTTTTTGAAGGCACAACAATTGCCCGGATCTTTCGGAATATCGTCGATCGCGTTAAGCGCGACCCGAAACCTACAACAATTAATATCGATCGATATTAATCTCGCGAAATAGCGTCAGGGAGAGGTGTGCGTTTTATCCTCTCTCTATTACGCCGATCGAATCCTATTTATCGCTCTTCTCTTCGCCTCGAACTCGCCTCGTTTGACGAGGCCCTTTGTCGGAGGACGAAGAGAAGAACACAATCTCAGGATTGATCGGCCGCTAACGCGACGTCGGTCGTCGACCTTCCGACGATTCGGCCATAAGGGCACTCCATTAAACAGGTCGTTTAATTAATCCCCAAAGCTAATCAAGCAAACAGAGCCAGTTCTATCGCGTAAAACACCGCGGGCGCTTTTATTGAGCGCACGCCTTTCGGGCGCCGTTGTTTTTATCGTTGTATCCAGCACGGCGGGAGCTTATTTCTTAAGCGAAGCACCCCTCCCTTAACCCTTCCCTTAACCCACCGTCCCCTTTCCCCTCATCGATCCCCCATGCGATCCCTCTCGATTCGATCCCTCGTAGGAGGACCCGGGTTCTCTACAAACACGGTGGCAGGAGTAGCGCGAGCGGGTCAGTTACAACCCGCCGACGTTAATGTTTTAACGACGCGTCTTTTTTTGTACCTTACTTCTTTGTTCTCGTGTCCCTTCGTGATCGTTCGTCAAGTACAACAATAGCGACAGCAACAACACGACAGAGCGCGCAAAAGCGGGATTATAAAGCGCGCGTATCTCTCGCACCTTCAGCGCGTACCTTCGTACCTTCTCGATCGAGATCGTCCGATGCTCGATTGACCTTTACGCTCTACCCTCAATTTCTCCCTCTTCCCCCCTCTCATTTTCCTTCCACACCCTCGTCCCCCTTTTTGATTTAAACGATATATCTTCTAGTTATTAAGGTACCCGAGATAAGTCCGAGGCGTATCGAGGATCGGACACTTCTCTCGACTCGGAATAAATTGTTATGATGCAAGGGTTGTTATACACAAGTAGTAGTGTGTGTATGTGTGTGTGCGCGCGCGTTTAAAAAGGGAAGTCTTAATCAGGCGCGAGAATAGGATAGAGCGTCTCGACGGTAGCGTAAAGATATGACAAGAGTCGATTTATCTCGTTGGGGCTTTGGAACATTCAATTAAATTATCGCGTATAAATATTCTAGTTATTGACGGGCGAGTTTTGTTCGCTCTCCGAGAGCGACTATCGTCTTATTGATATAATGTAATTGGCGCCGCTGTGATAATTGTTGTCTTGACTGTGAATTACGATGCGAAATCGATATATCAAAAGAAAAAAGAAAAAAAAAGGAAAAGAAAAAAGGAATAAAAAGATAAGTCCGTCGAATGCCAAATGATCGTTGAAGGGAATTCCTTTTTTTATAGTTTAACGTAATGTAATACGATCGCGACGATTAACACATACGAATGAGTCGGAAAATTTAGACAATACGGTCGCGATTCAAAATGTATCGCTGAATCAAAATTAAAATGGAAATGTATTTATAAAGAGAGAGAAAAGATAAAAAACACTGTGCTAAGGAAACTATGTGGCGAGATGATGAGAATTGAGATCTCGATCCAACGATATGCCTCGATCTCCGACCCACCTATCTCCCCCTCCCCCTCCCCCTATCTTAAGACGTAAACACTTTCCCGTAAGCTTGAATAGGAGAATCGTACGTAAAGCAGCATGCGACCATACATATACATACACTTTCTCATTGCAAGACATACACACACACACACACACACACACACATATACACATTCACAAGCGCGAACACGCGGGTATACCACACACGCATATACGTTCGTAACGAAGTATACAGTCTTAGTGCAGTGTTTCATATAGTTAGATAGAGGCGGCGAGAGAATATTTTTTATATTCTACATGGATTTTACAGTTATATATTATCGTTTCGTACCGGAATGGAGAAAATTTAAGGCGCGTCTAACGCGGTATATAGATATGCATATGTACTATATATACGAAATCACACGATATACATACACACACATACACACAGACACACGCATACGCGATCTTTGAAATACGTGTCGCCAATTATTGTTTAGATCGCGATTGTGTATCGATTATCGATCAATCTTATTGCGGTAGGCGCTGTCGTTTATCGTATATACGTGTATACATATACGTACATATATACACACACTCATATAAGCTACGAACAAACACGCATACGTATACACAATAGCGTAAGCGCATACGTGTCGTTTGTGCGATCTCGTCGACGATTATATATTATCTCATCGCTCAACGACAGTGCGACAGGTTTATCTAAGGGCTTCTCGGAAGGGGGGGGGGGGTCGATTAAATGCGGATATCGACAACGGATGCACGTGACCGACGCATCCCTTGCACTCTTTCTCCTTCCGGCCCGAAAGCTTTTTCTTACTCCTGTTCCGTGAAAGACAGTGTCGGAGGAAACACGGCAGGATAGATCGCGAAATATCGCGCAGGGCATTCATACACACATACATACATACACATACGAGAATACTAAACAAAATGTATTTGCAAATTAATTTACTGATTGTTTTTTGACGGAACGAGATAGTCAGAGATTGAAATCGGTTTTTTCCTCGCCAATTTTCTGGCAATTTCTCACGTTATACCATACGTCAAATCGTCGTCGCACGAGTATTTTGACGTGTCTATACAAAGTGTGAGAATTTAAACCTATAAGAGGAATATGTGTACAACGGTTTTGATCGCTGATCACGAAGAACAGGAAAAGGAGGTACACACATACGTATTGTAAAACACGCGTACATGCGCCGGGCGAGAGCAATTTCGAAAGCGAATTGACGTATACAAACGTAATATTTGTATGTAATTAGAGTATTATTGTTTAAAGCGTATATAATTAATAGTGTTACTTTTGTTGCGACTTTGTTTGAATGTTCGAGATAGGGCGACGATTCCACTCTCGTTGAGCGCGTCGAGATTTGCCGAAACAATGGCGGTTCTACAGCTCCAGAGCAAATTTCTTTCGGATACGATTTATAAAAATATCTTTTTTGATTAGGAAAACATATTTTTCGCGCAAATGATTATCACAAATGAGAGCATTTTATTATGTTAATAAATATAATATCGTACAGATAAATTTTTTTCGTCTTTATTCTTTTCATTAGTGAAACGTGATAACTGAAGACATCTTTGATGGGATTTGGAGCGATCGCTTACATTGTTTTATCGATAAATCCGTCATTTTGCGAAGGCAAATCTCGAGGTAAAGGATTTGCACGCCGTGTGCGAATTGACGGGGAATCGGCGCCGGACGAAGAAAATGATGCGCGCTTCGTGCGACAAGATGCGAGTGAGGAAGGACGTTCGCGGGGAGAATTAGGCGAGTAATAATTGACGAGGCGTGGCGAAGTGGAAATTCATCGGCGGTAGTCTGCTACTAATTGGACCGCGATCAATTTTGGAGGAGAAGCGAGCCAATTTCGCGCCGAACGATAAACCAATTGAAAACCAAGGTCTCTGTTGATATTGTTAATTGTTAATGCAAAGTCGGGATATATATCCGTGATCTGCACAGTTGGAAAATCTATTTTCTTGTTAAAAAATATGCCGGTTAAAATTTTTGTGTTAAATATTTAACATATTTATGTGTTAATTTAATATATCGATGTTGTGTTAATTGAATTCAAATTAAATTATTGAAACGAAGAAAATGTAAAAATAACACAATGCGCATCTATTTTTAATTTTACACAATAGATATGTTCCGTATTATTAGTGACAGGATTTATCTGTTATTTACAGAAAAAAGTGTTGATCTCTTATTCTACAATAAGAGTGACAATGAGTACAGATTGTCAATAACATTTTCCAAGTTAATTTTATCATTAAAAATATATTGATTTTACACAAAATTTATTTCAAATTACTTTGAGGTTTGCATTTATTTTTTATGTCAAAATATTAACATAGTATTAGTGTCACCATTTAACATATCGATATTATGTTAAATTAACACAAAAATTTGTGTGGACCGTTTGGTACATGTAATATCTGTTAAATTTAACACAAATTTTTCAATTGTGTGTGATCGTGTTATTGCTTTTCGAAAGAGATGGCTTTTTTTTTCTTTTATTAACACGCAGCTTCTTCTTGGCAATTAAGCACGCCGTCACGTGTGACACACGCAGAATCTATGATTATCCTTCGTGATTAATAATATCGGTTCGATGCGATTCTCGGGCTTATTAAACGCACGTAAAAATCGAACATCGCGTTTTCCGATATGCGCAAAAAGAAATCCAGGTTTCAGTTATCGGAAGCTGGAGCACTCTATCTCCATATTACTGTCGGAGGATATTAAAATGCTATTGAGGATACTTCGGACCGATTATCACCGAAAGTGTGTATGTGTGTGTGTGTGTGTATATGTGAAGGCTTTAATTAAATTCTCTTTTAATAATAAAAAAAATTTGGTTTAAAAAAAATATAAAATCTTCATATGTATCATCGATAATTTTCCACTTCGTTACGAATGCTGCGAAGTTTTTGCTATTTAAGCCTTTTTTACGATCGATGAGAAATTAGACGCGGAAAAGAAAGCGTGCGAAAAACGATGTAGAACAATATATAAAAAATTATGATAAAGCAAATTTCATGTAAGCCTTTCGAGCGTCTTTCGAATTGCAACGTGGCGCACGACGAATGGAAATGCAGTCGAAAGCTGAATTTTTGAACGAGAGAATGAGAACGAAACTAGAAAGAAAAAGCGAGATATGGGAGAAAACATGCGAGAAGGCAGGTAAGAGCGAGCGAGAGGACGAGAGAGCGAGATCGACGTAAAGTAATCAAAGGGCATTTTGTTGTGCGATCTCTGTGAATGAATGCGAGAGAGTGATGGCGAAACGATCGCGGTTGCGTACGTGTTTCGTAGTTTTCAAACATGTGATACGTCAGCCGGCAAGCTCGACTTCCGGGCATGCATCGGGAAGAAGCCGGCTGGGGTCTCTTCCGGTCGGCAAATCAAAAGGTGCCGCGAAAAAGTGTCGGAAGTGTCGCATCGGAGGTCGAAGCTGGCTGGGTGGCGCACCTTTCGAAGGTTCTTTGAAGTGTAGAACGCTCTTTTGTTGACGGTTGATTGTTGTCAAAATGGTTGTGAGGTATATTACTATTTGAAGTATATTAACGAGAGAGAAAGAGAAGGAGAGAGAGAACGAAAGAGAGAGAGAGAGAGAGAGAAAGAGAAAGTTATACGAGGGGCGGATTCGGGTTCGGCGAGAGATGTCACGCGATTTCGATCAACGAAATATACGATTCGATAGACCAGAGCCTCGCGGGAAGGATTCGCGAACGGGATTTACACGCGGATATTTTCCCCGAATGTTCGAAGTCGCGTCGCGTCTCGCTCGCGCGAGCCCGTCTTACGAGAAGAGACGAGAGGAAAAACGTGCGCTCTCGCGGGATCCCGTGTCGAGGGGGCAAAAAATTAACGATAAATTCATAGCGACGTGTAAATTTGCTTTTGACGTTGTTGATCGTTGCACGTGAGAGTTCATTACTAGTCCGGTGTGCGATTGTTTTATAATTCCGCGGCCCGTAATTGATACGGTTGCGTCGAAAACCGATCGAGTCGGTTCAAGTGTCGGGTTCTCGAATTATCTATTCGACGACGGACTGTAAATGTCATTGCTCGCGCGATGGAGCGAGAATATTGGACAATACGAAAACAATCGCTCGTATCTTCTCACTCAGCAGCAGTCTGATAACAAATAACTTGTTTATTTGTTTTATTTAATTGCGTTCAAAAATTACATTCTACTCTCGACCATTCAAATGTTGCATTCTAATCCGTAAATTCTTTACATTTTTGTTTTAATAATGGTACTCATACGAATTTTATATTTCATATAAAATATATATATGTTGCAACTTACTTATATATTAACGTTGATTTAGATCTTATTTACAAAAGTTTTTGTTAATTGTAATGCTTATGATAATTACACGTTAAATCGTATAACGAAAAATTCGCAATTGCGGAAAGAGATTAGAAACCGCGAGAGCGACGAAAGTCAATTTAGAAAAAACGCGCAATTTACTATAAATTGCCATTGTTAATTATATATACATATATATATATTGTAATTAAACACATACACGGTGATCAGACGAATTGGAACGCCGCAAAGGAGACTGAATGCTTTTGCGAATGACTTTGCGAGCGCACGTTTTCCCCTCGCGGAAAGATGAACGTGTTACACACAGTCGTCTCCGAAAGAGAAGCGCGTACAACTGGCATTATATACATTATACGTGGAGTCCGATCTGAATCGATGGCGTCGCGACGTCTTTTCGCGTTTTCTCGGAGACGCTCTGACGAGGACGCAGACGCGCGTTCCGATCGGGACTCGGCGGAAGAAAAATATGAGACTGATATAAAGCAGTATTCGAGTGCGAGAAAATTGTAAATTCGCGAACAAATTATACGCGGCGTAGCCTTAATAAGAAAGATTAATTAGGTTTATATTCTCGGCGACCCTCCGCGGTAGCGACTGTGGTCGCGCGATAAAAAATTATCTCAATTGGCTGTAAACGGAAAGAAAAAAAAAAGGGAATAAGTAGAGGAAAAAAGACATGTACCTCTCGTCGAGGGTCGACGCCCTCGAGATGTCCGCTCTCGCACGACGACGTATCTCTTTTATGTATAGTGAGAATAATGTTATTAGATAAACTTAAGCGTACTTTAAAAGAGCGAACAGAGAGGAGAACCGGAACGCAATGCCAGTTGTAAAACGGTGGATAACGCGAGAGGAACGTGTGTCTCTCGACCAAGACACTCGTCCTCAGTGATAACGATGGAAAATGAGAAAAGTGGAACGGCAGGAAAGACGCAGGGAAAAACGCAGCGTCTATATCGTGGCGGGGCGGGACGGGGTGGGAAGGGGGGAAGCGAAGTAACGGGCATCCGAGGTATGGGAAAAGCGACATGTATGTATATATGTATAATCGCGATAAATATATATTTATCGGCCGTCGGGGATCGACACTTTTCGTTCTTTTCTTCTTTCATCATTTTTTTTTTTTTTTGTTCTCGTCTTTTGTTGCGTCATTTTTTGCGGTACCGGTTTATTTTATTTTATTTTATTTTTTTTTTTCGGGGACAACCTGTCGCCGCGCGAGAGATACGATTCGCGAATGCACGCGCTCGCGCACACGCAAACGCTGTTCATGTGTATACGCGATAGATTATTTCGGAATACATGGATGTACGGGGGGAGGGGAGGGGAGGGAGAGAGAGAGAGAGAGAGAAAGGGAAGGGGAAGGGGAACAAGGGGAGAAATAGAGAAACGACAGCTTTACCGATAGTGAAACAGTAGTTATTTGCAACACGTGCACACACACGTAACACACATGCATTACACATGTAAAGCGATCCAAGCGATACACACAAAAAAAAAATTGTATGAATATAACGATTGCAGTTAGGTGGGACCAAAAACGACTTTATATCTCTATGTGCATATCCAAGCAACGTGTAATTTAATTAATTAATTAATTAATTATCCATTATTAATGACTAGGTAAAGTAAAAGATCCATCGATAGCAATCGAGAACGATGACGAATGATTAACGAATAATTAGCCTATTAAGTTTGTTTATTGATACATTATTCTATGATATAATTATTATTATGAGACATTTTGTTGTATTATTTTCAATAAAATCAATTGAAAAAATATTTAATTTATCGATTGGTTGTGGTTTCCGCTTCTCCGAATGTATCGTGCAACCGCATGTTTCCAATTTCTTCTCAATTTTGACGCCCGTAATCTGAATATAATGCGATTACACGTCTTTTTAATTTATAATATATGAAGTGAATGCCAAAATAATTTAACAATGAAAGAAATTGAAACATCTCAGTTTTTTTGTTCGTACACGGGGAAGCGCGCCTTGTCTTAAAGTCCGTCTCATAAGAGGATTGTTTGCGATCGCACGAGCAAGTTTTCTGAAGTTAATAGAGTTTTCCAAATGCATTGAGAGATAAATCAACCCCGGAGGTATCTGGCATAAAGATATAGCACTTTTATTGCCATTACATAATTTTAAAATATTCACTGAAGTTTTATTTATAAAATCTTGATTAATTTAGACTTATTTAAAACATATATTTGAAGTAATCGTGAATTTTTTAATTGATTTATTTATTACTTATCGTAAAGCTATTATTTTTAAAGTATTGTTAGAGAGCGACATGAAATACATAGAAATTATAAATGACTGCGAATTAATGTTGTGGTAAATAATAGAAGAACTAAAGAGATAACTGGAACAGTTCTTATCAGTAAACGAATGAATAATATAATCTTATTTAATATATAAAGGAATTTTTATACGCTTTTTATACGCTATATTTTATTTTTATGCGCGAATATTAAGAGGCACAAATTGTACTCATTGAACATTATTTTTTATTATTAATAATTGACATATTGTTTGAGTTAAAAACATTACATTTAATAATCAAGATTTTTTTTAGATATTTTTAAAATTTGTGAATTTTCTAGGATATTAGAGTTATACGAAAAAATATATGAATTTTTGTTTTGTAAGATCTCCGATAAATCTTTTTATTCGGAAGACTTGACGACACATTGTAACTTGCGATCGCAACTGCCACTATCCCATCTGTATACTCTTTTTTTCCTACTTTATTTTATTTTGATTCAAAGCATTTGATAGTGATTGAGTTTAGTCGCGTCTGTATACGATTATCTCTCCGCTACCCTCCAATCATCCAATCCTTCGAATTCTTCCTCTTTGTACACCTCTATCCCTCTTACTCTCACATGTCTCTGGATAATTTTCGTGACTGAAAATGATGGGGGGGAGCGGGAGAGGGGAGTAGGGGGAGGAAGGAGACGGAATAAGACTATCGTAAGCGTGAAAGGAACGGGGAATCCGAGATAAATCGAGAGGGGTGGGGGGAAAGGGGGGGAGAACGATATAACAGAGCGAAAGCCAGAGAGAGAGAGAGAGAGAGAGAGAGAGAGAGAGCGTATTATATATTATGAGACAAAAAAGAAATGGAAAAAAAACTAAATGATAGGAGAAGAAGAAGAAGAAGAAGAAGAAGGCACGGAACGATAGGAACAAATGAGGAAAATAGTTGTAAAAGAGTCACACACACATAAACGCGTACACACGACACGAGAAAAAAAAAAAAGAAACACAAATGTACTAAGTAAGTTCATACTGCGTATTGCCTTTCTGACTTCGGTGTGAAAATATATAAATAAAAAAAGTCAGTCGCGCCGGGGCACGCGTGTATGTTTTCGCGCGTATATATATTATATATTATATATTATAGTTATATTAGAGCATTTTTTTGACAAGAGAAAGAGAGAGAGAGAGAGAGAGAGAGAGAGAGAGAAAGAGACGAGGATTATAGCTGCTTCCGCTTCTTCCCGACCAGCCTTCCCCTCTTCATATTTGCTTCTGGAATTCGAGAATCCTTCAACACGTACAAATGAAAGAAGATATAATGCATTTTTCAAGGTCGCTTTCGCGTCTAGTCTAATTCCCTGAATTTAAGCCACATTCGATTGGATCAATGGCGGTCGCGGAAGCAGCGGACGGCGGTGTCCGTCGCGAAAACTTTTTTCACGATTCCGTAAGAGAAAAAGTCAGACGCCGCGCGCGCGCGAAGTCCGCGCGTCCCCGCCGACTGTGTCTGTTTCATGTTTTTCAATATTTGTAATTTATCGATAAAATTATAAAAGGTATCGATACATAACAGTCTAAAGTGTGCGCTACTCTACATAATATTATTATATATAAAGTATAAAAGTATACATATACATTGGGATTGGTGAGAATATACGGTTTTTTCGCTTTGGAGTGTTATTTTCTGAAAATATTGAACAAAATATGGAAAAAAAATTAATAAAACCAATGAGTAAAAACAAAACAAAGGCTGTCTACGTGTTGATTTTTTTTTTATTCTCACCCGATGTACTACGGCCCGGCGCCGTCAACGACGCGACGCGACGGGGCGATTCTCTCTGCTAGATTTTGCAATTGCATTCACATCGCGCGAGCGCGCAGATGTGTGAGTATCGGATATGCGAATAACTTTATATGACGTGTGGCGTAACCTGGTTTTTTCAATTTATGATACACGAAATTATCAAATCCATGTCGAGAAGGAGATTCAACAATCGAAGGAGAGCGTAATAAAAATGAAAACGAGGTTATTTATTATAGTATAATTATATATATTTAACAAATTTATTTTTAACATTTTCTCTTGATTCCCAAAACATTCAATTTCAAAAAGATAGATTTAAATAATATATTGTTAGCTTTATAAATCAGTACACGCGAACATATATTTTTAAACTGCTAATTTTGAGATATCATCTCACAAATGCGTGTTTATTTTATAATAGGCAGATATATACATTTATTGATTTTGTCATTAACGCAAACGTCACTACATCGTGACAGTAATAATTCTATAAAAACTTTGTATTCCCATTCGACATTTATTAAAAGTACAGATGTCTGAAAGAGTTATGTATATGCCGACTCTTCCAAGTACTTTTAACAGTCTCGTCGGGAAGATGGTGAAGATCGAGACGGAGGAACCGCAGGATCTTATCGAGTAGGTGAAAAATCTTAAATATGTGAAATGTACTTTACATTTCAGAGAAATTGAGATTACAAACGAATACTTAATTGCCACACACGCATGCAGATTGCTAGGTGATCTTCTGGGAGTTACAGATTACGAAACTAACAAGGCCGCTTTCTGGTTCTTGGACACTATAGCGCTGCAACTTTTACATTATAAAAATAGTCTAGATGATCAGCATAGAAGTGTCCTAATTAGCTGGTTGGCCGGCGAAATGAAATTAATTCGAGGTAGCAGATTATTTAAACAACTATTGAATTAATATTTCTGAAGTGATATTAATTATAATATTTTTATACATAATTATTATGTAAAAAATAAATTTGCTAATAAAAATTTGATACATTTTGACTTCCTTCTAAAATTGTATAGCAATATAATTAAAATAAGAGGATTTATATGTAATACATTAAATGTGCAAAAATGTATTCTTGGAGACAGAATCTACTTTTGTAGATAAAAAGCTCTCGCGTGAAGACTTTTTCAAGGAAATGAGAATATTCTTTCTATATATTGCTGAGACTATATCTAGTGGCGATCAATTGTTGCATTGGGAATTAATCGTGGATAAATGTCCCAAAAATATATCAACAAATTCAATAAGTTCAGTCACGAATAAATCATCTAATGAGAAATTAGTATCGGAATACAGTATGGCTCAAGAAATCACACGTTCCTTAATTATGGAAAAATCCAGAGATTCCGAAAATAGGTAAAGACATAATTCTTTAATACCATATTATATTCTATGTTAATTAAATTAAGTAAAATGCTCCGCCTTTTTAAGAAGTTTGCAACGGAAATCGTCAAAAGAGCTTCAAACTTCGTTAAGTATAGAGAATTCGCAAATAGATACATTCATAGATGCGGCCGTTGAATCTTCCAACTTGACACATTTAAACATCGCATTGGATACAATTATTGAAGCGACGTACAACATGTAAATATAAACAAATACAATGCATTATTTCATATATCTCTGTTTCAATGATGTAAGAAGATTTTATTTCCGCTTTATATTTTTGAACAGGTATGCTAATGAATTACGGTATGCTCTTATACATGCAGTTTTTGTAACGCCAATACAATTACAAATCTATCATATGCCGCACACTCTCCGAATACCGCGTCAAATTAAAGTCGCGGATCCTAAAGAATGGTTTGACATACAGCTTCGCAAGCGATTGGAAAAGGCTGCCTATGAATCGACAATTCCAGGTAAATGATGTAATAAAATAATTATAATATACATATAATTAATTGCATTCGCGCGATATAATGCAAAAAAAAACACATATTTAAAATCCATGTAACTATGTAATATTCATGTATTTGTAATTGTTGTTTAATTGTTACAAGTTTATTACCATAATATTGTCAATTTTTATTTTCTCTCGATAATGCTTATTGTTTTTATTTTATCATAGCTATACAACGTAATGCATAACTGTAAGCTGTCGAATTTTTTACTTTTAGGAAAGAAAACGACTACTAATGTAAAAAGAGAGCGAGAAGTTACGGAGGATTTAAATATAGAAGTTCCTCCGACGCCACCACATTCTTTAAGTGACGAAGAAATATTAGCCAACAATCGTCGATTTATTTTACCGTTGATAGAAGCAAAAGAAGCGGCACAAATCTACGAGATGCATGCAAAGAATATGATATAAGGATAAATAAAAAAAAGATTGGAAAAAATATAACTTGCAAGGATTTTATTTTGTATCGTTGAATATATAAAATACAATATCATTCTGTAATTATCGCCGTGCCCCATTCGTGACATTTAAACTTTTTCACTGTTTTAAAATCTAATGGCTGGATGTTTAATTTAATAAAATTATATGTACTTTTTATTCTGATATAAACTTGTTTACGATAAAAAGGCTTCGTATATTTTCTGGTTTAAAGATAACATTTTCACAAATTTTATGAAAATTTACGTGGAGGTCTTCTTGTCACAAATAAAATTTAATCGAAATAATATTTAAAATGTATTATGTCTAAAAGAAGAAATATAGATCACTTGTCTTTTTATTTCCAGGAAATACAATCTTTATCGAAGTAATATATATTAATAAGTGTATATTATACCTGTTAAACATATAGTAAAAGAACTTCCGCATTCAACTTTTTTTACATTAATTTCTATAGTTTCCCCTTTGTCATTTTTAAAATCCACTAAAGTTGGAGTAGCGTGAACTCTTTTGTTTTTGCTTTCAATTCCTAGTTCTCCATTTGAATTCCACCCCCAAGTATACAAATCACCCTGTCGCATTAAACTGGTTTTATTTACGAGTCATATAATGATATATGCAAGTAATCAATTTTTTTTTATGCACTAACTTGATCGGTGACTGCAGCGGTATGCCAACCACCCGCTGATACTTGTACTATCTTCAGACCTGCTAAGGCCTCGATGAGTTTCGGATCATCACAATTTTCCAATTCATTGTGCCCTAACTGACCACGTCTGTTATGGATTATGTAATAAAACAGTAATTTATTTATTTTTATCACAAATAAAAAAATTGAACAATCTGTGTAAAAATATATATACGTAAAAATAAAAATTATATATTTTAAAATATATTT